ATATTTTAAATATTATACTTATTATATAATATTATGTTAAATATTATAAATAAATTTTAAATTTTGAATATTAGATTAAAGAGTAGATGTATATTTAACATGTTTCGAACGTATTTTAATGTTCGGATTATACCGTATATTTTACTGTCAAGTAGGCTGTCAAACATCGCGAGAGAACTGTATGTGTGTTTACATATTTACGTAAATATATTTGAAATAAATTGTTGTTCTTGAAGAGCCATGGATGACCAAAAACTACGATTTGCACAATCGATCGCACGATTTTATTACACTTCTAAATTTTCGACGTTTTACAAAAAAATCTCGCAGTTAAGAACATATTTAACAGAGAAAAGAGAGATTATTTGTCGCGTTAATAACTTATACATAATTTTACGCGCGACGCACGTATTAATCGCAATATAAACAAATAAAAAATGGAAAGATGTGTATTCACCGAACGATGTTTTATCGTTGTTATCCGCCCCGCTGGTCTATTTCATCGCCTTTAATCGCGTCATCGAATTCGTACCATCGCCTTTAATCATGTCGTCGAATCCGCTTCATCGCCTTTAGTCGCGTCGTCTAATTCGTTTCGTCCGTCGTCCTTTTTCGTGCACTCATTAGGTTATACTTCGACACGAGATGTGCGCGGAGATAGATTAGAATTAGAACAATTACGAATCGTTGAATCGTTCCATCCTCTTTAATCACGTCGTCGGGTCCGTTCCATCGCCTTTAGTCGCATCGTCGAATCCGTTTCGTCCGTCGTCCTTTTTCGCGCATTCACTAGGTTATATCTCGACAGGAGGACGCGCGCGGAAATAGATTAGTAATCGCGCTTTATTCGCGACTCGCACAACCTTCCCCCACCACGCTCATGCCCTCACGGACTGATTATGAGTGTAGTGGAGTCGTCGAGCGATACTTGTTGGGTAAACATGTGCGGACAATATCGAATTTCTCTCTTTCTCTTACAATTAGATCTTGTTATATGTACTTTGATATTTTGATGCTCACTCCCTCTCTCTTCCTCTCTCCCTCCCTCTTTCTCTCTCTCTCTCTCTCTCTCTCTCTCTCCTGCTTCCCTCACTCTCTCTCACTTTCACTCTCAATATTTATTTCAATAAATCATCGAAAATGCGCGTTAAGTTTTGTTGTTCGCTGGCTCGAATTTTTCAATTAGAGAAATATTTTTCGCGTAATAAGTCGAAAGTATCGTGTGTACAGCATTTTTTTCACTAGTTTCTTGTATACGTTCGGAATGTATCGAGTGATGAAAATATCAGGTTTCAGTATCGCGAGACGTATCAACGTTTCGGCGAAAATACGTCGATGCGAAAATCGTTTCTTCGCATTGTTCGAGTTTTTAAAATTAATGCATACACGTATACGTAATGTTAAATATTCTTGATATAGCGTATATATTTCACTTTTATGTGACGTCGGAACGAAGTTGCCTTCGCGTCGTCCGAGTTTTTACGTAGCGTCGTTCGGACGATTGTCGAGAGTGTCGAACTAATTGAGATACGTGACGATAAATTAATCGATCGTTAATTAAGCTAAATAATCAGACGGGCATCGTATTTCGCTGATTTCTTCCTCGTTTCTCGCGTCTCACGATATATCGTACGTGTGATTGGAAGTGGCGAAAACGCCGAGCATTTAATTAATCGGGGTACGCGACGCTAAAATTAACCTAGGTAAGCGAACAGTGTCCTGTGACGTAAGCGGGAGTGTAGCGTCGGTATGAAGTTGTGGCGTCTTTTACGAAGATATTTTCGCGTCGTCGGAATATTTTACGCGGCAACGTGCAATTTCCGGGAGTGCCGAGTCAAGTCACGGGTGTATCACGGGAGTGTCGAAAGTTGTGTTTAAATAAAATATCGCGTACGTAATCGAACATCGGGAGTGAAACAACGTCTTAATTAGAGCGCGTTATCGTTAATGACATTTCTCCGCGATCGGTTTGTCTTGTGCGAGTGAATGCCTGGAGCGACGAGGAGGCCGACAGGATGAACGAGGGCAACGCACACATCGACCGGTAAGAATATTCATTTATTCACCGTAATAATTAAAGCAATATTACAATATTAGATAATTAAGGACAGAAGTCTTTCTATATTTTTTTCTCAGCCAAACTTTTTTACGCCAATATTTTTTAACGTGAAATATATTAACGAAATAGAGCAATGATGTACTTATAATAATAAAATAGTAATAATGAAATATATAATAATAATGAAATATATAATGATACAGTAAAATAAAATAGTAATAATGATCAGAATTTTATATACATAACAATTGTAATTTTTTTTATTTATATCAAGTCCGTAAATTCGCAGCTTTAATATATAAATATTAATAAGTTGTGTTAAAAATTATTATTCTGAAAAATATTAATTACATCAAATGTGAATATAATTTTATATTTTCTTTTACAGAGATATGTCAATTGTTGCAGCTTCATTTGATGTACAACTCTTTCTCGCAGATATCAGTGAGTTTTACTTTTCTTTATCGAGATAATCATTTATACGGAGTGTCTCATATATATGTATATATATACACACATTGCTTTACATATTGATCCTTTTATTTAAAGATTTGCTCCGCGATTAATCGGATAATAATATAATATATAAATAACATGATAATCGAAAGCTTAGTCTATGAAACACTCCGTATATCTGAAAGCTACGTGTATTTACGGGCATGATAATTAAATAAAAAGAGCAAAAGCTCTCGACGTACACGATGCGCCCACAATTGAGGAGAACCGTCGTCGGTTTTATTCAACGATAAATACGTGATTGGTATCGCGCGAATTCACGGCACTCGCGGCGCGCGTTCGAACAAATCGAATGGCACTCGGCGCGCGATTATCCTTAATCGCTGATCCATCGAGCGTTCCTTTCGAGTATTGCCCGAAAGAGAAAGAGAGAGAAAGAAAGAGAGAGAGAGAGAGAGAGGAACAGACGGAATGAAAAGAGGCGAGATTCGATTTGCGGATAATCGATGAGGCGGCATGAGTGACGCATCTGCCGATGGATTCGTGATCGGACATCGCGAGAAGCGTCGCGTTGTCGTCGATAAATAACGACGACACACGACAATGATGACGACGACTACGACGATGACGACGACGACGATGATGAGGGGTAGACGAATGGCATCGGCTATGAATATTGCCTTGGGCCGCATACGAGAGTATGCCCATCTCCCTCTCTCTTTCCCCCGCCTTCTTCCTTTCGCTCATAAGACCCTTCGTCGCATTTCTTCTCTTTTTATCTCGTTATGAGCGAATAAATCGGCGAGGTCGACGCCGAGGTCGGGTTCTATGGTCGCCGATAGGAGGTCAGCTAACGCTGCTGATTCACTATTATCGTGCGGGATACGCTCGGACGTCGACTCCTGGGTGGTAATTAGTTCCAATCCCAGTAACGGCGTCGTATATCTCGCGGCATTTTTTACAGTCGAATTCATAAGCGAGACGCGTCGGCGACCAATCTTCGTTCGCTACTTTTATGTCATTCAGATTTTATGCTCTGTCCATTCCCGCCGATTACGCGGTGTTTCTTCCTCGAGTATACTCTATGATTTAAAAGGGGGTTAGATAAAAAATATCCACACGTGCGTTTCTTCTCTTCTACTTTTTTGCAGCGTTTTTTTCGAGAGGACACGTGTGTAAAAGAGAACAGTCCATTTTGTAATATAAATATGCATAAATTTAATATTTATGTTCAATGGATAAACCAATGAGACTATAAAATATATAATTCATATAAACCTAATAAATTTTGTAATTTATTGTTTTTACAATTCGATTTATTCCGTTTTAAGAACTTTCATTAACGGTAACAATTTCACAAGAACACCACAAAATCTCCAGATGTCAAAACATCGAACAAAAAATTATATTCTAGTTGTGGGTTGTGAGAACACGTTAGAATTTTTACCGGATCTTCGCAAGAGGAAAGGGAGGAAGAACGTCAGAGTGCGTGGGAGGAGTCGCGCGAGAACGGGAAGGAAGCTTATATTTC